AATTTCATAGTGTGTGCTTTTTCCGCTATTGTATGTTTTATTTTATAAGCAGTAAGTTAAAACTATAATTGCCAGCTAGGTCTTACCAAAATTTTCAACTGTATATCTTCAGTTATAAGGAATTAGCAATCCGCCACTTCTGTGGCGCCACGTTATGCAGATTACATGTGACTCAGTGAACAATGTTTTTTGCAGAAAGTGTTGGCATCTTCTTTTCCCTCACACCATGTCCAGGAATTGGACAACTGATGTAATGATATAATAATGATTGTTTATGTTTTTAGATTGTGTCGTCCGTCCGTTAGGTTGACGCGGACCACTTTGTCATCCCTCTTAGATTGTATGTGATGTATGTATCCATTGTAATAAAAAATAAATTAAAAAAAAGAACGTTTGTGGAGCCCCTGTCTTTGCTTAACCCGCAAATATTAAATCTAAGGTATGTCTTATCTTCTGTTGCCTTGCAGGGAATGCTCTTTATAGATTTTTCGTCGCCACCAGAGTTCCTTGGTAAGATACGCGGGTTGCTTGGAAAGTTTGACGGGGACAAATCTAACGACTTTGAGAGCTCAGATGGAGTCATAACGCCCGTGAGCGCGTCGGAACAGCAGCTTTACGAAGACTTTGGTATCACTTGTAAGTACATGTATATGTCTTTGTATTCCACATCACATGTAGTATAGAGTCTAACAATGACATATTTTTCGTCATTATTGCAATACCATATAAGCGATTATAGGCACTGTCTATGTCTCTTACTTTCATAACACGAGACTGTCATTGAGCTTCTTATGCGAGACTAAGCCTTTCCCAGTTTGTGCACCTCTGCATGTATACCAGACTAATACATGTAATAGTGACTTTTTTTTTTGCTTGCCGTGATATACTAGAAAGTCCATAGCTTGCTATCCTTTATTTGCCTTTATTTGCCTTTATTTGCCCTTTTCTGTATGGCAGATAAAATGTTAGCAGTGTGATGAGGGTAAAATGTTTGCAGGGACCCAGGCGGGAAGTATTTTGGCACTTTTGTACACAATATGCGCAACAGGGCAATGTTGGTCTTTTACTCCCACTTGTAGGGCAGCTCACTAGCGAAGACGGACCTAGGAAGTCACTGTTTCCTAACAACACGGAAGACTCCTTCCAGACACGGTCTTCCTTCTACCCACAATTCACGGATGCCATCACCTTTATCGACCCGCACCTAGAGAGCCAAGCTTACGCAATCTGTAAAAACAACACCGAATGCCTGTTCGACATAAGCCAAACGGGTGACATAAGCTACGGCCATGTGCTGTTGGAGGCTGATGAAGAATTTCGCTATAAACAAGATATGCTCAGTAAGTAGTTAACGCAGTATTGGCTTTTTTCTTTGCCAGATTGAGTTTTCTGTAATATCTACTATTATTCATTCTTTCTTTATTTTCTATACTTTCCATATTCAACCATATTCATATAACTCAACCATAACGATATGAACATGGCATTAAAGGTACAGAACACATTGCTGTCATCTTTTAGCCATTAAACTGGCATTATACCAGTGTATACCTGTGAGGATATTCCAATTGTTGGTTTTCAACATGCCACATACAGATTAATTAACAGTCTACAAGACAAATAACAAGAAATACATGTACTTATTCCACCAGACATGTTTCCTCCCACTCTAAATGGACCCGGCACTGTGTATGCGACCGTGGGTACAACAGTGACCGTAGTTATCACAGCTACCGACCCTTCTACACGTTTTCCAACCTTTGCACTGGGACCAGAGGTCCCTGATACCGTGGAACTACGTGTGAGGGAGTCAGAGGCAACTTTGATCTGGCAGGTCTGTGGCTATGTCATGTGTATGTTGTGTAGCTTCGACAACTAGCGTATTTAGAACCGTTGCTGTCTACTTTATAGTAAGATTATATGCATTGATTGGTAAGGACCAGGCATATTCTCCGCGTATTTGAAAATTAATATGCTATCTATAAAACTTCTGGATACGAGTAAATTCTGCATTAAACAAGGCTCTGGATACGGCAACAACATCTTATGTATTTCATCAGGTCACCAGCACGTTTTCACTACGGCGATAATTTCGCAAACTTCATTAATTTAGTTTATTGCTTTCAGGTGACGTCTGCCTCACCGTTTAAACTCCAAGTCGATGTTTATAACGCCGAGAACACGACAGCCCAATACTGGCCCGTGGTTTACATGTGTTCATGTCAAAATGGTGGTAACTGTGACTCAAGCGTGGATCCTGACCCCTCCATTGCAGGTGGCGAAAACAAGTACGTTTCCTCCCACGGTCTAGTCCCAAGTCCTCAATACACATGAATACCAAACCTGGTTTGTAGAGTATCCTTTAAAAAGAAGTCATTATAGACATAGAAGATTTCAAACCTCCGTGAAATGGATAGAATTTTCTAAATATCTTATCTAACAATACTAGTTATTGTGAAATACTTTGATTAATAAGTATGTATTTGATGTTGCCACGGTTATCCGGCCAAAATGCTCCAGGCCAACGTCCTCCTAGCTCTCGGCCATTAGCTGCCAGGATGAAACATCCTGTTGCTGATCTTCTGTAGTCTGAGTTTAGGTAATTCCCTCGCCCATAAACTTTCGCTCAACTGTATGGCGACACAAGCAAACGCTAATGTACCCCTACCTACACACACGCACATATACTCCTATTCTACTTAAAGAAGGTAAATAATGATGAAATTTATTTCCGTACTGTAATCAGATTTTTCAGACGGACATGCAGCTGTGCACCAGGCTACGCCGGAGATGACTGTGGGTTCCAGGTGGACGCATGCTTGGTGAACTTGAACCCATGTTTCCCTGGGTCGGAGTGCACAGATCTCCCTCCGCCAGCTGGGTTTGGTGCGGATGGATACACGTGCGGACCATGTCCAGACGGGTACACCGGAGACGGCATCAACTGTCAAGGTCAGAGAAGTTGACATTAAATATGGGTGTGTATCCACTAGCAGCCTTCTTTCAGACCTTTTACAAGATCTTACAAAACCC